TTAATCTGGAGACGTGTCAGATTACTGTAGTTTGTTCAGTCAAACATCTTATGGCTTACTATTTAGCTATCTTACCATGACCGATGTAACATCGTATGCACATCATAAATTCCCAGTTTCTTTCTTGTTGTACACCGCAACCAAAATAACTTGTCGAATTAACCAAATCATTACTGTAAACAGCTCCATGAATGCTCGTATCTCCGAGACTTCACAAAAAAAATAACTCTTGCACGCCTTGCGTGCCTATGTTGTATAAATTAAGTGGACTCAAATCTATGCACAGTTTTATTTGTAGAATAGTTTGATACATTGCTCTTTAGTTTTATGCTACACTAGAATCACTCTACAGTAATATTTTCAGTTTTCTGTGATCTTGTCCCTCTGGCCGGTAGGATCTTGAAAATACTACAGGCTAGAGGGAGAGCTTGTGTATAAGGTAATTGGACTCTTAAGTCCATGCACAGTTCTTTTCGCGAGCCTGCTCATGTGTCAGCGTTTCCCTTTGCTTCAATTTCCAATGCGAACGAAAACAATATTTGATGATATTCAAGCTTATTCTGTGCTCAATTTTCCGTAAACAAAACCTCCACTAAACAGTCAAAGGAGAACAAGAGAGTCGGAAATCTGCAACGCGTCCGTCATCGTGGAAGTTTCAGGTAAGCTAAATTTATTGGTGAACTTGAATCGGTCCCATTGATAGTTCTGGGCTTTTTTAATTTTCATTTTCCCATTGATTTTATAGGGGGGCAGTAGGGGGGTCAGTAGGGGGTCAGTTGACCGGGGGTCAGTGTTTTGTCGAAACCCACATTTCAGTGCTTTCACTCAGCAAGAGAAACTTCCTCGTCGAGACAAAACTTAACGGCGGGGTAGGGGAGGGGAGTTAGGAGGGGAGGGGTGATATTCTGTCCTCTCGCCAGATTTCACTCGCGTCCGGACAAGATGGCGGCTTTCAGGACGGTTCATTGCCCAGTTGAATGAGTGGGTAGGACTGGGACATCTGTAATATGTGGTAATATTTACACAAGGAAAATACTTCACTGAAATTGCGTGACCATTTGTTGCGAAGATGAAAGCAAGTTAAGCTTAGTTCTGGACTACGAACTCACGAAATGTTGAATCAGTCAACAAGACGTGTAAATACGGGCATCACTGCTGAATCTCTTTATTTAGCTTTAGCAATGTGGATGGAAATGTTCCCGGAACACACTGTGGAACAATTTGATCCAGTAGAAAGCAGGGAAACTACAGCAGATTCAGGCAAAATTAAGGACGTTTATAGGAAAGTCGGATGCGTCCTCGCACAAGAAAACGGCCGTCTTCTGGCAGTGGACCACAGTCGCGACGGTGTGCATGGATTAGCTGGCTTGCTTGTGAAACTTCACGACAGAGTCAAGGGTTGCAGTGCTTTCTTGTCACGGAAGCCATGTACGTACTGTGCTAAGCTTTTGGTGCAAGCTGGTATCACTGCAGTTTCTTATCCGCCTGTTGAGCCGGAGTATCGCCATACTACGAAAGAAGAAGAACGAGTTCGGGTCTTATTTGATGCTGGTCCAATTTATCAAAGTGTTTACTTCCCTCAAGTGAAGACAGATTTACTGATGTCAGATCAAGAGTTGCTAGCAAATGGGATATTGTTGAACGATGTTCAAGAGTTCCACCGACTGGTGTCTGAGAGATTTTGGAACGAGGAAAGCTCGAGGCGGATGACGGGCAGTTCAATTGAACAAACATACAATGATTTTCAAAACCTTGCGAAATGGTTTACACAAATTTATCTCCCTCTAAAGCATTCGAAGTTGAAGCTGTCTGCACACAGCGAAGGAACCGGTGTCAGCTTTCCAGAGGGAACTACTAGAGTTTTCGATCCCGAACATAATTTCCATGAAGAACAGATTGCCAAACATATGCTTGGGTTAGCAATGATGACAATTCAACGGACTGTTGAGCCGAAAACTGGCGTGGGTTGCGCCATCATGAAGAACAATGACGTAATGGCGGTTGGATGGAATGGATTTCCTTCTGAAGTAATCGAAGAAGACTTTCATAATCTATCTGATCAAGAACGGGACAAAAAATATCCATCCTTCGTTCACGCGGAACAACATGCACTTCTTATGCGTAACACAACAGACGTCACGGGGGGTATTATCTTTGTCACGAAAATTCCATGTCACGAATGCACTCCTCTGGTGAAGGTTGCTGGGATAGAAACAGTAGTGTTGGCGACACCACTGAAAGCGATAAAGGAAAGTTATCGTCTTAATTATGACATTTTTCAAGAAGAGGTTAAGAAAGGCACTTTCCTATGCTATGAAATGGTAACAGTTTAACAGTTCGGTAAAAAGGCGAGCTGAACTTATGGTGGAATGCTTGATACTTTCCCCTTATTGTTAGCCTTATTTGCTCATATTGTTCAAGAATTGTTAATTTCGGGATACCGACACGATTACGTAACTTTTATTCCTTTAAATCGTAACTAATGGTAATGTGTATTTTTCTACTTAGCCTTAGTTAACAAAAAACTTAATGAGCTCGAGATTTCTACGAAATGATAGAGCATAGAGAATCCATTGAACCAATTAAGACTTAAATTAAATACATGTGGCTGACGCAAAGCCAAGGAAAAAGTGTGCGAACGAGGCGCAATTGGCTTTGGTTTTACATCTGATTGGATAAAAAAGAGGTGCGAGTCTTTTAAGCCAATTGTGTAGCGTAGCAATACAGAACCAATGACTTTTCGACACTCAAAAACCGCGCTTGGTAGTTGATGAAGCCGCTTCAAATAACGGTGTTCAATTATTTCTCGTCTTGGTACTGAACTTTTTAGAAAAATCGCGCGGACTGAATTGCCAAACTGCCGTTGTGTACGCGCGCTCATCAGTTTCTAAGAGTGTCCTTATTTCCGAGACCTCCTTCAAAATTTCGGAGAAACGAGGAAACGTTGCCATTTTATTGACTACAGCAAGCCACTCATCACTAATAATGACTGATAGCGTGCAGTGGCTCAGCCAATCAGATTGACGCGTTTCCCGAGTGGCTACTAATGGGTTTGAAAGCACATTCTTTCTGATTTTCATAGAAAGCGCATACATTAAAAAAAAAACGCTGTCCGAAGTTAAGACGTTTCAAACATATGAGCCTTATCGTATATGTAATGTATGGACAACGAAAATCGCCGACATCATTTACATCCCGTGCGCATGTGAAAATGGCAGCTGTTCTGTTTTCTCACAGCAGCGTTTTCGACGTGGAAGACTGTGAAAACGGTAGTGTGGATGAGCGGCGTTTTTGGCGAAAAAGCATAAGTGTGGACGGGGCCATGGCGGCCATGTTGGTGTTCCCAGACAATAGGAAATGTTTACATGAGGAAAGAACTTGTTCTCGAACGGGAGATATTCTAAAAGAGGTAAAAAACGTTCTCTGGTAAAATTGTATAAATTGGGAGAAATTCTATTGTTTGCGAACATCAACATGGCTGCAGTTACGTCATGTGAAAACACTAAATAGGGTTCACTTAAAAACAGTGATCAACATGTAGACAAAAGTGTGATTCTGTAAAAAATAAAATACATTTCATATTTTAATGCTAATGCTGGCGTAAATGAACCTAAAACACTCCATTTTCTTTTTTCTTAAATCATACACGCTTTGATAAAAATGTTACACATTTTTCAAAAGAACTGCAGCACTGAATGTATTACAAACACGTTCTGATCTTTCATTGAAAATAGACCAATTTCCAGATATTAACAACAGACCTCAAAACGAGGCTCTTGGAATAAACCCCACAAACTCTGTATTTATTTCCCAGAGCCTCGTACTGAGGTCTATTGTTTTACGCTGAATTTTAATATATCGAAATTGGTCTATCCTCCCTTTGGAAAGCAAGGAATAAATACAGTATTTCATTATAGTGTCGACTCGAGGCATGGTGATTACATCAGCAGCGTGCTGTTAGCTGATACTCATGTCCCCTGTGGGTCTCTCTGAGTTCGTCAATAAGTCGCTGATATGTTTTTGGTTCTCCTCAAGCTCTTCAAGTCGTTCCCGTACTGTTACGATATCACGTTGCTGTCGATCCTAAAAGAAACCAAGAGTGCAGGATGTCTCTTTGTGTCTATGATTTACGTATCATACGTGGCATTTTATTCTTCACACTAAAACATATGAAATAGGAAATAGCTCAGTTGGCAGAGCAGTACGGATTTTCCTTCAGGCTTCTTACAATCGCTTGAATTACAAATAGAACCGTGAAGATCATTCTGTTTACTTCACAATACTAAGACTTCTACATCTAAGGCTATGTTCCATTGGGATGAACCGTTAGTTGGGTTTTTTCGTGTTCCATTAGGAAAAAACCCTTTTCGGTTGGTTTGGTAGATCAACTTTTTCAACCGGACGCAAACCAGGTTGAAAAAGCATTTGCGTGATTATGTCGCGTGATTGTAGCTCACGTAAGGGCTATTCCCAGGAATTACCGCGTTTCAACCGAAAACGGTTGGAAAAGTGTTCTACTGAGAAACGTCAACCGTATCAACTCAAACCGGTTGCGGTTGAAACGGTTGATCTCAATAGAACACGAGCTAAGAAATCCAATTTCATCGGCGCGCGGGGGAAGGAAATAGTACAACACAAACTTCCCTCACTATGCCACATAAAGGAAATAAATGAACAGAAGAAAACCACAAGGAAATCTACATTAATACAATAACCTTGGGCTGCCCAGAGCTATATCGTGTAGGGTCCAAAGAAAGTGTACAACAGTGTCATACCGAACAATATTACGGTTGGTGATGGCATACCGCCGCTGCTACATCGACGTTCACGGCATTTCAGCTTGATGGAAGAGAAAACATGGATACCTGTTGTCATCCTTCGCAATGAAACACGCGAGCTTCGATGAAACCACGGTAAAGGAGGTAGTAAACCAACAAAGCTGAAGGGAATTATGATAATACTGAGCTTGTTCACACTCTTTTGTTGGACAACCTTGCTGGGAACAGCAGTAAACTGATGACATGTAAAGTTACCTGATCTACAGAGGTGTTAAATGGTACAGGTGAACTAGAAGTAGGAATAAACGCCAACCCAATACCCTGGCTACTGTCTAGAACACTCTTGAAACGATTCTGTCTTTTCCTGAACTGTGAAGAAAGAAACAAAGCCTTGTGTTTAGCAGCTGAGTGTAGCAGTTTAATAGTTACGTTTCCAGTCATTGGAAATTTTGAAAGGAACCCTCAGAAGGTATAAGGCCTCGCCGCCAATTACCCGCTTAATTACCCACCACTTTCTACCGTTTGGCCTCATATCTCAGTCTGTAGAGGAATGATGATTTAATTGGGATGTCGTTGGAACGAATTCCACCAAATTCAAGAAAATTTGTCATTGCCGTTAGAGGTCCCATTTTAATAATAATAATAATAATAATAATAATAATAATAATAATAATAATAATAATAATAATAATAGGTTCTTATTGCGCATTTAGAATTTAGAATTCTCAATCCGCGTACAATTGCATATGATTAAAAAGAATAAAAACCTAACTAAAAGATGCAATTATTAAAATCTATGACTAGGTTGAAAAACTAACCTTTCTAGGGCTAACATAAGGAGGAAATTCTAGGGTTATTTACATCAAATACGATGTATGTTGAGTTGCTAAACCGCCAGGCAAACCAGCATGTGAATTTTGTTATAATAAAGTTAGCTTTAAAGATAATGAAATGTAGCTGCATATGAAATGTAGTTCATTTGGAGCACCGCCTTAACCAGAACGAAGAAAAGGAAAGAACTCTGACTTTTCATTGAGTTCTAATAATAATGATCATAACATATTTTAATTTAACCAGGGTAAACCCGTCAGCAAATGCTGTTATCAAAGGGTGCCCTAGGCAACTAAAAATAGAAATGAATTAATAAAATCCTTAACAGATTACAACATTACAATAGTTACACCTGTACCTTCTCAAACTGTCTCTTTATCTTCTCATTCTCCAGCTCCAAATGTTTTCTGCAAGAAAAAAGAAATGCTCCATGATCAATCCGTCGAGCAACCAAAGTTCTCTCAATAAATATTGGTATAGAGTAGTTTGAAGTAATTTTAAAAAATCAATCTGTTTTAAGCAATCCGACGAGCTTGTTCATTAGTAAAAGCAAACGAGGAATACTGTGAAACAAAGATCACACGATAACCATCAAAAGTAACACGATAATGATATATTTTGCTCACGCACTTACTTGACTGAATCTCTCTCCAGTTTCAGTTGTTCTTCTTTTGCCTCTAAAACTTGCATCTTGTCGTGAAGTTGACTCATTTCTTCTTTGTGTTTCTTGGATTTCTGTGGAGAAGAAAACGTTTAACAACATTGAAACGAACTCAGGGAGTTACTCGAAGGCTGAACATTTTCAATATTATAAAGACAATCTGTCAGTTGTAAACAGGATAAGATATGTGCTTTATAAACTGCCTGGCGTATCAGTTGATTTCTTAAAGAAGCTCAGTCACGGTGTTTTGTCTTTTTCTTTTGGCCACGTACATAATCTCCTTTACATGGAAGGAAACTTTAAAATAATAGTTTACTCAGATAGAAAAACATCAAAGAGATAATATTAAACCATTCATAAAGGAACACGGATGGCGAAGATTGACACGGATTGCAAACGACGAATTTGAAAAATTTAGGCTAAACTTTTCAAAATGTGCAAACCGTGACTGAGCTCCTTTAGGGTTGGTTTGCATAAGATCGCCACGAGTCCTTTCAATATTAAAACACAATGTCCGACAGGGCTTGGATCAAACAGTAATGCAATGTACTCTGGTATATCTTTCATCCCAACGATGGCTACAATGTCTGGAGAGAAATCTATCCCGGCAACAATCATTGCGACTGCTGTTCAAAGAGTTGTTTCCATATGATCGCAACGATAGCTGCATGGACTTCTCTTGCAGCAGTCGTAGTGATCGAAGCCTTAAGCTTTAGAGGCTCTCTACCTATCTATGAATCACTCTTTGTTTTCTTAGGAAAAAGAACAAAGTAACCATGACGTCACAGCATACTACTCTAAGAGTCGCATACAAAGCTACAACAGACAGACTGATTTTACAAGGTTACATGAAATCTTCTCGCCTTCCATACCTTTTTATACTCCTTTTCACGTTTCCTTAAATTTTCTTCATTTCCTTTTAGCTTTTTCTCCAAGTCAGTTATCTGTTTTTCCAATGCATTCTTTTCGTCCTTCCACTGTTGCCTGAGTACCAAAAAGTAAACAATGAAATAAACTTTTTTAAAATGAAAACTCAATTTCTCTTAGCACAGTAATCCTCCCATGTTAACAAGACATAAAAAGTGTCACGGAGATCCCCACTCTCTAGTTAGCAGGGTTAAAGCATTAGAGGGAGGTTGTAATCTAACATACTTTATCACGTATCGTATACAGGTCGAGCCACGTTAATGACGCCATGGCAAACAAGAAAAAGTACCAACAATTTGAAAACAACAACAACAACAATTTGCCTAAAACCTGGTTTAAAAGGCAGAAATTCTAACAGAAAAGTCCTTTCGCTCTACAGGTATGGAGCGCACTCACGAAAGTTCTCTAGGTAATTATTGCAAATGTCTCACCCCCGAAGGCTTGTTGCTGTAGTACATGTATATCCAACAACTGACTTGGTCGCACTTTTGGAGAATTGCAACTAACATGCACATTTAAGTTTAAAACACTAACAAATGACCGCGAAATACCCCCGCCTTCTTCTGAAACACTAACTGCTTGTCAACAAACAGCCATTTTAGTTTTAGCTGTCACGTGATTTAGCTTAAAGCGTTTCTCCACCGATATGGTTATCTTTTGTTATTTATTTGTTTATTTATTTATTTGTTTATTTATTTATTTATTTATTTATTTGTTTGTTTGTTTAGAGCGGTTTTCAATTGAGTGCCGAAAGTAATTAGGCAATTACTTTGGTTTTGGTTTTACGACACTCAATTGAAAACCGCTCTATTGATTTTTATTTATTAATAAGTATTAATTTATACTGTATATTAATTAATACCTATTCTGTTCAAGACTGCTCCGACTTTCCTCTTGCTGTCTCTGAAGATCTGATCTTGCGATAGCTTAAACAAACATACAGAATAGAATAGAAATGTTACAAATGGAGATATGTACTTGACAACAGTGAGTATTGAATACAGAGTATACAGTCAGACAAAACTGATGCAACACAAGAGCATTGCCATTAACTGCACAAAGACAAAATGACATTGTCAAGTAAATTCTTACTTAGTTCATCGTTGAGTAACTCCAGCGATGTTTTAAGTCTTTCGTTTGCTGCCAGTAGTTGCTGTTCATTGCTCAAGAGACTGGAAGAAGAAAAATCCTACTACGTTACTTCATTGCTTCAGACTGTTTGTAAAATAAATTGTTCTGGTGAAGAGCGTAAAAAGAATTTAGCATCAAACAAAAAGATTGTTTCCAAGCATAACAGCCCATCAGGCTCGCATTTCTTTTCTTGTATAGGTGAATATCTATGGTGACTCGTTCCTTGTTACATTAATACTGCTATATTAATTATAAACCTCACCTTTGACACTGGTTTTGTAATTGCTGCTGTTTTTGTTTTAACTCTTGTGTTCGCGATTTTTCCTGTTAAGAGCAAAATATGGCAGTATTTATTTACGTGGTGTTTTTAAAACCTCATATTAGTGCGCTCGACTCCGGATCTAGCGGTCCGGATTCGATCCCGGACCGGGGACATTGTGTTGTGTTCTTGGGCAAGACACTTTGCTCTCACAGTGCCTCTCTCCACCCAGGTGTATAAATGGGTACCGGCGAATTTAACGCTGGGGGGTAACCCTGCGATGGACTAGCATCCCATCCAGGGGGGAGTAGAAATACTCCTAGTCGCTTCATGCTACTAAAACTGGGATAAGCTCCGGCCTGATGAGCCACTTGGCTCGTATGCAGACTTTTATAAAACCTCACAGGGAAGTTGACCTTCGTTTTAACATTATATTCGTGTTCTTGAGTGATGTGGCCAAGACCTAATTGAACTCTTTCTTTACAATTTATCACCATGAATTATGATATCTCAAGTGATGAAATACGAATGACTCCAGTGCTTCTTCAACAGTTGTATTTACCAACCTTCTCGAGGTCATCCGCTATGTTCCGTGTTTCTTGAAGTTGTGTCCTCATTTGATTGCATTCCTTCTCTGCTAAGTTCTATTTGAAATGAAACAGTGATTTATGATCACCAAAACAACAATACTAACGTTGAATGATGAAGCCAAACGCCGCTAACTCCAGTCTACTCGTTAATCATGTCTCACATTGAACATAAGCTCTTCTCTCGTTTCGATGTCAGTCAGTATTTCATTCGATTTCCATTGAACACCGAGACCTGTACTGGAAATACGACGCGTAGCAAAGTAATTCTGACGTACAGTAATTTAGATTGCCTGGTGATCAGGTGAAATATTGTCTCAAGTGTTTTGTCTTCCTGGTTGAAATAAAGACTACATGTATGAAGTAAAAGGTAATATAAAATCATCAAGTACCAGGAAAGGTCAGGATAACTATGACTCAATTTAAAGATGACTTGATGAGTTCTTAATGAGTTTGAGCTCTGACAAGTATTGTCATTGAAAGATGGCTGGATGTTAACAATGCCAACATTTTTTAATTACATACATGTAGTTCTGATCACTGCTTTTTGTGTAAATTAATCAGATACATTTGACTGTCTGAAAAGAAAGTAACAGAATTGCTATCTTTTTCCACTGACGAGAACGTAAGACGCAAAAGCCAGCATACAGTTTAACAAACCTTGACCTCTGCGACCGATCTGAGCTGGTCTTCAAGTTTCTCAATCTGAACATGATACGCAGCCTCAGCGTCCACTTTCGCTCTGCGTTAACACAAAGATTAAGATAGTCTGGGTTGAATTACTAACAATGAAATCTTTTGTAAATGTCACTTCTCTTGCAAAGTTAACACCAAATCAATTCCCTTTGAAAGTTCCTTAGTTTTTTTTGTTCGCATCTTATCGATTCACTGCCGTTAAGAGACTGTCAATTATTGCAAAGTAAGATCAATACCTTTCCATTTGTCCCACACTAGCCTCGAGCTAAAGGAAAAAAAAGAAATACAGAGAGATTCATTTATGTACCGCTGAGCTGCCATGAGCTTATTTCTGAGCCACCTTCCAGTTTAACATTACAAAGCAACAAAATCAATGACGTTAAAAAAAAAAATCAAAAGGAAAATCCTTTCGAGTATTCTTTTTCATTGCAATACAATTCACTTAGCTATAAAAAAGTGCGAAAAAACTTTTCTTAAAAACATTTAAGAAATTTTTCAAAGCGGTTTAATAATACACGATGTTTCGACGTTCTCGGACGTCATTATCAAGTCAAAAAAAACAGTATGAATATTCTATAAATACAAGAAAAACAATAGTTCATTAAAAAGAAAGGTAACATAAGCTAGAACTTCCTGGTTATTCATCAAAGAACTGAGGCCTAGCCCTAACACTCAGAGTGATTCCATCAGTGCTAAACTCTTTATTTAGCTTGTAGCATATTTTTATGTTACCTTTCTTTTTAATGAACTATTGTTTTTCTTGCTTTCATAGTATATTCATGCTGTTTTTTTTTTCACTTGATAATGACGTCCGAGAACGTCGAAACGTCCTGTACTTTTTTTACCGTTTTTTTTTTTTTTTCAATTTCTTAAATGCTTTTAACCTTAAAAAGTCGCTTCTTTTTAAAATACTATTCAAAACATTCATAGTAATATGCAAAGTTGAAATACGTAACAATACTGCAGTATTCTCGACTAAGCAAGCATTCTTTACGCTGGTTACATAATAGGCACCTTAAGATATCAGGACGGGACGAGCTAGGACGGCTACCAGAAGTAAATTAACTCAACCGGGCATGCGCACGAGAACTCTAGACTCATCTCTCAGCCGTCCTCATCTCGTCGAGGACGCCATTTCGCCCGACTAGCCGTCATATCGAAAACGTGAGTATTTTGCACTTGTTTTGCCCCGATAACTGTTCCAATCGACTTTATTTTCAGTTATATTAATAGGAATGTTAATAAGGTTCACATTTTTCGTGATTGTAGTGTAGAATACTACGCTGAGATACGAAAATGTGAATAAAACTATTCCTCGTCTGTTCGTTTGTGTTTCTGCAGTCACTGTTCAGACGCTATCACGAGTGTGCAAGTTCAATACRAACTGTATGCATTGAGAATACATCAGTGTAAGTACAGTCGATAAAATGTTGTACGAATAAATGCCATAGAGCATCTATCGAGCAAATAAAATACACATTCTCAAACTGATGTTTAGTTGTTTTTTTATACTACCCGGAACTTGATGCAACGTTTGTTTTATTTTTATACTGCTTGTTACAATTACAGATGGAAATTGAAACGTTCACCAAAAGTCAGGATTCTTCGGCGAGAGAATTCTTAAATGCTCTGGTGGTAAAAAGCCATCTGAAGCAGGTCGATCAGATTGTTCGCTTAATATTTTTTCATACGGAAATTCTGGATTCTCTATTAAAATATTGACAGATGTTTGCTTCGCTTCATTGTAAAGAAAAAGAAATTCAGCATCGCTGTTCACTATCGTTTAAGCCTAATAGGATAAGATTTCTACCATCTCTTTTATAGTCTAATGGATGTCATTGCTTCTGTGAATAGCTTGCGCGAGGTTCGAATTATTGACGTCGCTGTCCTTTGCGAAAATGCACGTCTTAAGCATTTCGTTTTTGGCGACACGACGGGACCCGCCAAAGTTTCCCGCTTCCACTGCCGTTGCCGTCCTGGCCTTCCCGTCCTCGTATCTTAAGGTCCCTAATAGCTCTACAACAAATACGGAGGCGACTCGTTCACTCCGTTCACACAGCGAAGCGCGGAGAAGGGATCGACCCATCCCTCCCCAATCATCGTGTGGGTCGTACCGTTAGACCTCCCCTAATCTACGGAAATCTTAGCTTAGTCCGTTGGTCAATCATTATTCCCAAATCTTACATGTGTTTCAACTGAGTATGAATGGGAGTGTTGTGAAACACATAGAATACTGTTGAACCATATTATTCCATTATACTGACCTGAAGCTTCGCTTGTTCGAGCTGAGTGATTTTCTCCCATTCTGCTTCTCTTGCTGACTGCACACGTTTACTCAGTTCATGTTCCTGGTTAAACAGCATGTAGTTACTCAGCAACACAAACTTTCAACAACGCAATTATAGTGATCTCAAGAACAATAAGATTTTACAATTTCACTGTGTCTCAAGAGAGGGTATCTCTGTCCTGATCTCAGTAATTTACCATCAGTTTGAATCTAATGCACCTTGGATTCAAACTGAACTCACTCAATCAATGACCAGAAATTCATATTTTGCATCCTATTGCTGGGAACCTTAAACCATCACAAACTGTAGAAACTGCTTATGACAGCGCCTTTTTTAACTCTATAAATGGATCTGAGTTGGATGTTCAGTATAGAAATGTATACATGTAATGACATTAAATACAATATAACTCATCAGCTGAGAAATTTTACATGTTAAACAACAACAAAATTAAAACGCTCTGTGGTAAAAACCAAAGCATGTTGTGATTCCATTTTGTGCCTGTACATTGGTGAGATTACCCTGGAGTTGAATGTTACTTACCTTTTCATCAATTATTTTCTTTAGATGTTCTATTGTTCTTTCTAAAACCTGAACTTTGTTGTTATGACTTTCAATTTCTGCTTTCAGTTCATCACGGTCTCTTTCTAAGTCTCCTTTGTTCTTCATTAAACTAAGACATGAAATGCAGTGAGTGTAAGAAATACTACTTTAACCATACATGTGTAACTGCAAGTATCGCTTGATCCTCAGTAATATTACTGTTGTTTTATCTCATCATGTTAAACCTTTATCGTTAGGACAATTTATTATGAAAAGTGTGTTGATTATCAGACAGAGTCAGTATAATTATCACTGTTTATTCTACTGACAAACTGGTCAATGATCAAATGTCCATTCTGCTTGCTGAAAGTTGGGTCATGGAATCTGCTATTAATACTGAACATGCAGAGTATCACTTCCGCTGGGCTTATTCTCTCTTTACGTTTGGCTTGCTCAAAAAACTTGCACTGAAGGGAACTCAACCAATACTTGCCTCACCCAAGATCAGAGGTCATTGTACATGTGTACGATATATATTTTACCAGTTGTGCTAAAGTTTGATGAGCTCAAAGCTGACATGCCAACCATGAGTGAAAATATTGTTAACGCTGACAGGTTTTAAAATGTGTTCCTGCAAATCATTAGGCCTTCTTATAAACAGCAAATTATCGTCTTTTCAACAAGGTAAACAGACAGTTTATCATGTATGAACAAATGAACAAACCTCATCTTTAAATTGCTCAATTCGACCTTGTGTTTGTGTGACATTTCTTCCATTTGGCTGAGAACAGGAAATAAGAACCGTTAAAATGCAATTATGTTCAGCAGCAGCTTTGCAAAATATACCAGTTACGCAACACTTTTGAGTGGTATACCATGGAATATCCCACGAGTCATTTGTATTTTCTCGGTATACACACAAGTCTTTAAGCGAGTGTGTATATCAAGAAAATACAAGTGACAAGTAGGAAATTCCATGGTATAATATGAGAGAGCATTCATAACTATTTTATACCATGCCATAGAAAGTACAGTGGCCAGCACAATCAGTGTGACATACGCGCAGTGCATGATGGGAAGGTTGGATGTAATACCGTCGAATAAGCAACAGCTTTCCTGTATTCTGATTGGCTGTATTTTCTATGGCATGGTATAAATTAAGATACATGTATATGCATGATGCAATACATGTATTTCTCATTACCTTTTCTGTGACATAGTCTCTTTTTCCAGTCTGTTTATTTCTGTCGTCATCTCATCCTAAAAACACCAAAACAATCGCATACTTATTCACAAAAACACGACATAAGTCAGAATAATAAAAATACTTACTTCTACATTTAAACAATGAGTGTTAAACAGTGGTTATCATACATGTATAACAACAAACAATGAATAATGCAGTTCATCTGATAAATCTGGGAAGCTAACTGCAGTGTAATATCTTTTTCTCTGATTTGTTAAAGCACTGGTTTGTAAAAAATTAACACCAAATTACAAATTTAATCATGTTTATGATCAGTACCCAGCTTTATTTAACTAATTTGATGCTCATTAATTGTATTGGCATGGCCACACTCTCCCAAGAATCTCCAATGGTTCAGTGGCAACACTTCTGATTGGTGAATACGGAAGGACCATAACGATACATGTGTTCAACTTTGCACACTTCAATATTTATATGAACAACAAAGTACCCTATCTTACATACTGTATTAATAGACATGTTTATTCTAACCTGTGCTTCATTGTTTTTCTCTAATTCTTCCTGTAAAGTTTGACATTGTAGCTTTAAAGAGTCACGCTCAGTCTACAAAAAAAAGAAAACAATGTCATTACAACTGCTGGTCACATCGTTGTACCAGTTAGGTATAAAAGTTACATGTGTAACCTAGCCTGCAACATAATCACTGTACATTTTGTACCTCGAGAGATTTACACTTAGCAGTCATTTCTGTCAGCTGCCTTGCTTGCAATCTGGATACCTAAAGGTAAACAGGTCCAAAATAAAAATTGCGTATTGTTAAATTATCCAATCTTGTTTCCTTTCAAACTAATCACATTACACTAAAATTAATGCACAGACAAAGATTACATGTAGGTCGGAGCAGGGAGATGATGTATGTCACCAAATATTTGAGGATTTTTGATCTGAACGCATTAACTACAATGGGACCCGCTACCGAGATGCAATGTCAACAACATGCCCTACACCTTAACAAACGGCGACAAGTCTTGAAGACATGACCTCCATGAAACTGGGAAACAAACCGCACCATGGCTTTTAACAGAATTAACAAAAGACGTGACCATAGCAGGCAATCTGGTCTAAATCAGTGGTGTGTGTGCACCTCCATGACCATGTTCATGCCCTGTAAAAAGACGCAAGTGTGCGAAATATGTTGTTGCTACAAAGCAGACTTTTTTTGTTTCCTCTCAGCAAAAAAAAAAATACATTATAGTGTAATATTGGATATAGAGAACAATAGTAAAGGTCTTCCTAACGTTTGAATCAGTGTGTACAGTATTTCAAGAATTTTGATTACAATAACAAACAAAAGTTGTTTATAACTTATTGTTCATCACTGGCACTGTTTAATAAAAGACACCATTCATTCTGTGGATCCATCAAGTTATGGGCATACTTGGAGGTTTGGAGACAACTCGAGGGGCTAGAGTTGTTCTCAACTACACTACAAGCCATACTTACGCTTCTCTCGTTAGTTCACCAAATTCCCTAATAAGAGTAAACTTGGCTTTTGTTGCATGTTAACGAGAAAGGAACCCTGTATCTCTCTGCAATGTAAAACCTGTGCTGTTACCCTTACATGGTCAGACTGTAAGCCAGCTGTTTCTCGTTGTGCTCTGATTTCATCCAGTTCACTCAAAAGGCCCTTGATCTTCATGTGAAGCTGTGATAGCAAATTCCAATACAGTTACCAATAAATTCAAGCACACCAGGACAATAGTTACCATGTACACCTGCAGTACATGGCATAAATTGGAATTTAAAGTACGTTACCAAACACTTATGTTGTGAACCACGAAAATGGAAAACCTGACACTGTAAGTTGTAATGGTACGTTATTCTTGCAGAGCACCTTTATTTCAATATGTTACTTTTTTGAGTAAATTAAATGAACACACCTGAGCATTTTCTCTTTGTAATGTTCTTGTCCTTTGTACATCTGTGGGTCCCTCTTGCTGCAATTTTTGCACTAGTGAATCTCTCTCTTTCTTGAGTGATGTCATCTTCAAACCAAATATTACAGTATTCATTATTCCCAGAACAGAAAGGTATTTGTTTTTTGATTGATTTTTTTTATGTCTTGACTAACCAAGAGTGAGAGCCATAGTAAAGGAATATTAATTACAGCTGTAGGTCTTGGTACAGATCAGTGCACAACAAGAACACTCAAATTTGGATACTTCACAGTACCACAAACCAGAATGATTATGGCACACTAATTGACATCAAGAAACAAAGAAGAAAAAATCAAAACGCACTGTACCTCCATGTCGTGGTGAGCTTGCAGCTCTTCAATAATCTGTTTGTGTTGTGCCTGAGTTTTAGCAGAAGGGTATTAAATAAATATTAGATAAAGTTATAAAATATAGAAAGTCCTGCATAACATGATTAGAAAACAAAAATCAAGGGGCATCATGACTGCATCCACCCCCATAACACTACAAAGCACATTCTTCATGTGAATTTAGTTATCATGCCACATTTCAAGGAAAGAGGTCTAAAAGTACACCTGTTTCAGATTCCACGTTTTCTGTAGCTATATGCAGGGAACACCTGCCACACAGCCTTACAATACGTGTATCTGTAAGTTTAACAGTTTTCAAATGGAAAGATCTTGTTCAAATCAATACTCAAAAAAATTTGTCACAGTTACTGAACAGACTACGCTAAAGGCCACATCTTATAATGGGTTAATGGCCAGCTGTTTTCATCCTGACCATACACCAGCCATACTTCTTAATCTTACTGAAACCATCCCACGTGTATAAAGGCCAACTACACCTTCGTTTTAATCTGTAAAGCATGTTCTGATGTAGCTCAAATCATAATTAGTTGCTACAAAGTGTAGATAAACAAAATTAGACTTATAAACAGCATGCAAAACTGGGCTTAATTTTTTTTTTTTTTGATCGTTAAGGGAGTTGATCATTAGTTGACACCCTGGGTTTCCAATCGATGACATCGATAATCAATGACAATCGATATCAATCAATACCAATCGATATCGATTAATCGATTGATATTGATAATCGATGACCAAGCGATGGCGAAGATTCATGTGGTTATCGATGGGTATCGATTTTCAATAACAATCGATGAAGAAATTGATATCGATTGGTATCGATTGGTTGCGCATTGAAGGAATCGGCGCATAAATATCCCATCTTTGTACGCAGCAATTGTAAACAGATTTCAGTTTAATCCTTTGAACGTTAACAGGAGAACAAGACTCTCTTCTTTCTCTTCAACGCCCCGTCCACAGGTACTCGTCTTCTTTTGACAACTCAAAAGTTTGTTCCCGTTCTCGATTAGTTAACAACTTTAAACGCGTTTCCGCGTTCTCCCCTCCTCTTGTCAGCAGTAAATACTTCACGGACGTTCATCTCAAAACGGCAAAGATGATAGTCTTTAGCGATGCACCTTATATTCAGGAAAGCCTCTTCCCGGACTTCTTGCGTAGACACGGGAGAATGACACGGAAAGGCAATGACGGGCAAGTGGGTAATTCAAGTACACGTGCAACGGGGTATATTCTTTGCGTTGAGAAGACTGGATCGGAATTATTTTAACAATTTCGTCCCCTGGGCTTCNAAAACGGCAAAGATGATAGCCTTTAGCGATGCACCTTATATTCAGTAAAGCCTCTTCCCGGACTTCTTGCATAGACATATATAATGACACGGAAAGGCAATGACGAGCAAGTGGGTAATTCGAGTACACGTGCAACAGGGTATATTCTTTTCGTTGAGAAGACTGGGTCGGAATTATTTTAACGATTTCGTCCCCTGGGCTTCCTAAAAATGGCGGATGATCGGACAGGTTCGAGGTTGCTGTGCCAATCGATGCAAGCGATGAACGGTTTTTGTGTGGTTATCGATTGATGATCGATTGACCGATACCAATCGATACCAATTAACTAATTTTATCGATTGATATCGATTGATCGATTGGTTTTTCGATCATCGATTTCCATCGATTGCATACCCCGGGTACTAAGCTGTTCTAAATCTCTTCTGCTTTGAGGAAACCGTGTAGCGATCAACAGACGACACTACAGACTAATCCATCTCTGAAAAAACCTTCAATTTCGCGTTTTCTGAAAAACTTTCTGTAGTAAATGTATATATAATTTGCTTCTGGAAAAAATAAACTATGTAAATATGTATAAAAAATATTCCCTGTTTGTTTGATAATTTGGTCAGTAGCTAGGTTATGCTAGTTCGACCATAATTCGATGGTCCTCGGGTTGTAATATTATTATATATATATTATATAGCTGGGGCAAATATGCAGATATAAATTTCTACCTCGTTATCTTATTGCTGAGTAGTTACCTCGAAATTTGTGTTTAAATCCAGAATCAGGTGAAAATTAATAATAAGCTGTCTTATTCAAGGAAATCTACTCGTATTTTTCCTGTTTTCCAAAGTCAAATGTCACGTCATCTCCAATTAGCATAAATGGTGCCCAGTCGCGAACCTTAGCAAAGCCGTTACCTCTCATCCATTTCATGGCCTGGTGAAGAGCTCCACTGGCACTCTCCCCGCGAACAAGATGCTCGTAGAAACGACACATCAGCTGCTTTGTAGCACACTCTCTTATTGCCCAAAGTGCCACTAGTACCGACCGTGCACCGGATCCTAAGAATGCTCGAGCGATTCCAATAACTCCCTCGGCTCTAATCTGCCCACGTGCACTATGACAGCAGCTAAGTACCACCAGTTTAGCTCGCAGTTGAACTTGCGCAATGTCAGGCATCGTCAAAAGGTAATCTTCTTCTTTTGGAATCCTGTTAGTAGAGCGAAGGGGTGAAAGAGCAATTTCTCCTCTTTCGGCATTACCATGTGCAGCAAAGTGTACCAGGCCCACTAAAGGTAACCTTTCAAGTACCGCCTGCTTTGTGGCATGCTCTCCTATTAAAGGCTGTACACCCAGTAGTCGCCCAATCATGACCGCTTCATTTCCTGCGAAGGGTAACCTAGAAAACTTCTGTTTTCTTCCCTTGTAACGTACTCTACCAACATCTGGATCGCCCACGATCAGGGCTCCATTCTGATAATGATAGTCTGCTGGAATGTCCTGAATGAGCTTGAGAGTCGTCAAAGAAGGAACGATTCGAATCCTAAATGTTTCGGATAAACACTTTCCGTCTTCGTCAATTAATGCGGCAAATGGAAGTTGGTTCAAGAAACGATCAGGAACAATGATGATTTCGCGCTCCTCAAGCCAGTCCACTACGGGACCGATGAGCATTCTATGACACAAAGAAAGGGGTGATTTGGGGTATTCACTCCTTTCATCGCCATCTTCTTGTAGTCGCGAAGACGCGAGGCCCTCTTCCGAGCGTGAACTTAAATCTTCCTCAATAGCAGTTAAAGATCGATCTTCGCAATCTCCCTCGCGTGAAATATCAAAACCTCGAAAACTTTTAGCAAAGAATTCGTCTAAACTGCCTAGTAGTCTTGCACCAGCAATATTTTCGTCTACTCCTATTGCTCGAAAATGAATGACACTGCTTGTTTTGAGAATCCACAAAAACACAAATTGAGCATAATAGGAAATGTACAGGCATGTACAATTGCGTTCTTTTTTCATAATATTCTCAACGCCAAACCATGACGTCGGTTTAGCTGAGATTTGCCATTTAATAAAATACTGAGTCGTCATCAAGTCAGCCAAAGCTCGAGCTCGTGCCAGCTCGAGAACATAAAGGGCTTTGTTGGAATTCCCAGAGAAACAATACATTAAACTAAGATTCCGGTAGGGAAAATAGTGAACGTCTGAAAAGGATATCTTAAATTCATCGTTGTCTCTTAGAAAACCACGCAAACTTTCGCTTTTGTCCATACTCAGGAGCAGACAGTCAAACGCCTCCTGCATTTTCCCTTGGGATAACTTCACTACTGTAAGGTTGCAAAGCGAGTGTATCTCTTTGTCAAGGGTTCCAATATCTCGACTAATTGAAAGTGCTCTCTCAAAATAGTCTTCAGCTTTGTCATATTCACCAAGGGACTGAAACAAAGTTCCTAATCGTCCATAGCAGACTTCTTCTTTTGCTCTGTCACCAGTTTCTCTGCTCATGGCAAGTGCTTTCGCAAAATAATCTTTAGCTTTGTCATACTCACCAAGAGAGAGAAACACTGTTCCTAAGTTTTGGTAATTTGCTACTTGTCCTGCTCTGTCACCAATTTTTGTGAAAATGCCAAGTGCTTTATCAAGATGTTCTTTAGCCTTCTCATATTCGCGAAGAGATTGAAACACAGTTCCTAAGTTTAGGTAACCTGCTGCTTCTCCTGCTCTGTCACCAGTTTCTATCCAGATGGCAATTGCTTTCTCAATATATTCTTTAGCTTTGCCATATTCACCAAGAGATTGAAACACACCTCCTAGGTTTCCGTAATCTGCTGCTTGTCCTGCTCTGTCACCAATTTCTATCCTGATGGCACGTGCTTTCTCGAGATATTCTTTAGCGTTGCCATATTCACCAAGAGATTGAAACACAGTTCCTAAGTTTCCGTAATCTGCTGCTTGTCCTTTTCTGTCACCAATTTCTATCCTAATGGCTACTGACTTCTCAAGATATTCTCTAGCTTTGCCATATTCACAAAGAGATTCAAACACAGTTCCTAAGTTTCCGTAATCTGCTGCTTGTCCTGC